AGCACCTCAAAGGAAGTAAAATGTGTTCATCTATCTAATCATATTTAAAATCCATGCTGTTGGTAGTGTCTGTGAGCACTGCATTTCTTACCCAGATGTTACGGGGCCCATCTTACAATCATTTTGCTCCACTGCAAAGTAAACATTTGTGAGGTGCCAGGATACAGATTAGGTTTCTTCATCCCAACTATATATTACATGTGTTTCAGGAATTCCTGGAGATGGGTAAAAATAAGAAGAAAGATATCAGCAGATAATGCTCAGCTTTATCAAAAGATCTGTTTAAACAGGCTCAGGATGCCTAGGCACTATAGTAGAATTTATAGTTTGAAAACAGACATGCAGACATGATCCGTGCCACTATAAGAATTTAAAGAACACACTTAACAGGAAGATTCAGTTCACCTGTTCTTTCCAAATTATGGTGCATTTTTTGGTAAATTTTGGTTTCAGCATTGTGGTTTCTATGATTCTTTTGGATTCAAGTCCTCTTGACACTGATGGTCTTGTTAATTTGAATGACAAGCCGATAAGTATAATAAAGTAGTTTAAAGAACTTTGAGTTTGTAAGTAAAAGACCTATACATGGAATTTTGCTCTGCCATGTACCTGCTTTTTTTTAAAGAAAAAAAAACCTAGCTAATTCATAACTTAATCACTGATTCAAAACTTAATCTTCTAGTTTCTGTCTTTCCTCCTTTGTATGAAAGTGCCTAGTACAACACCTGGTACACTATAATTGTTCAATATATGTTTATTGGATCTGAAATAAAAGGAAGGACAGCTTATTTTTCAAGATGTGGAAAATAAGTAATTTGGGAATCGTCTAGACCTGAGCAGTTCTCTATCTTGCTTCCAGCTTCATAAGTTCACTCCACTAAATGAAATTTTTTGCTAGAATGAAAGAGGAGAAGGGCAGGCTGCGCAACTAAGCAAGAAGGCAGACTGTCTCGGTCTGGGGGCTGCTCTGCATCTATTTGACCCTCTTCACTTTAAGTCTTTGATCCTCTGCCCCATAGCCCATAGCCATTAATAACTACCTTATCCCAGTGTGGCTCCACCTGGAAGGGTGGGCCACCTGTCTATCTAAAAAGAACATGGCTGACAGATCCACATGTGTTGATAAGCAGGTGGTAAGTCTGCAGGTGAGGTCGGCACAGTAGATTTAATCACACCTCACTGGGACAGGGCCAGATGTCATACCAAGGTCAATCAAGGAATTTTTCACCACACACAGGCAAGCAGAGTACAGGATAATGAGTCTGATTTTTAAAGTCTTTTTCATAAATGTATTTTGGGAAGAAGAGTTTCTTCTGGAAACTCATGGGTAAATCACTGACTGTCTGGTAGACTATGTTGTGTTAGCTGAACAGAAATGTCACTAATAAGAATTGTGTTGTTGTAGATAGAACTGTCTTTGTGTGCATTAAAACAGATGCATGAAGAAAAGGAAAAAAATGAAAGAAAACAAATTCATGAATGTACTATGGCATTATGCTTGCATTGTATGTGTAAAAGTTTGGAGAGTTAATATTAATATTTAGTTTAATTCTAGTTATAATCATTAACTTCTATGGTCTCCAGACTTTAGTCTGGCAAAGATTTGGGATGGACTTCACACCACATTTCACTCTCATCTCCTATTTGCACCTCCCTTTTGGTGTGTTATTTCCTTCTCTGGATTCTCAATTCCAGCGGTGGGCTAAACCTTTAATATGTTACAAGTCCGAAGCAACTGAGAAGAGAAAAATTACAAAATGATAACCACAAGTGAGGCAATGCTATTGTTTTAATTAGAACCTTGCCTGAAGAGATTTGACACTGTTGATGTAGGTATGTGTAAACCATAGGCAAGCTTTAAAAAACATATTTTGCAACCATGGAATATATTTATCAGAATAAACAATTTCGCAACATCACTAGACTCTTGATTCCAATGCCCTGAATTTAGTTATACGTGGCACTAAAGAGAGAACTCTGGGCTAATGCTTTACATACTTAAGGATTTTCCAATCCAGCTAAGAGAGGAAGCAATAGCCAACATACTTTTTTTTCCTTTTAAACAGTTAGAAAACTGTCTAGATATGATTAAAAAGGACAGAGTATTGGTCATACTGTACAGAAATGTTGGCCAGGAGTATTCTTCTAATAGTCAGATGGGCTAGAATCCAACCCCAGGGAAGAGTCATCCTAGAGGGTTTGGCATCAAGACATACCTTTCCTCAGCTTGACAGAGTAGGCAGGCAAAGCCACGTGGTAATTGAATATACATTGCAGGGAAAAAATAATGTAGAGAGGAATATTGTTGTTAGAAGTGAATATGAGCATCTCCTGATATACAAGCTTTGGTGGGCTCTGTATGGTGAGGTTTTCCATGCAGGCTTTCATGGATGTGTGGGTATGCCTGGTGTGTATATCTTCAAAATCCTGGACTCATTTGGCACATTCCATATGCCTCTAGTCAAACTGTAATAATTGGAAATAGCTTATTGTACAAACATCTGGAAAGCAATCTCACTGGGTGGCCCTCATCACTCTGGACATTTATCTCCTTGCTCTGATCCAATTTAATTGGGCTTCTAGGTATTAATAAGCCTAGCTTCTTTAAACCACCTACGCATAATTAAAACTGACGGTGATAACTGGTTTAGGAAATGCAGTAGAAGGTCATATTGTATCCACAGGTGAGTGCTCTGTAATAAGCATAATATCCGGGTACAAGGGTGTAAGCATGGGTTTGAGTCACTAGGCATAGGTGATTATTTGGCCATGTGCCTAAAGTGTGGCCCGCCATCAGCAGTTCCATGTGGGGATACATGTGTGCACAGGGCTTTACATTACTTCCTTCACAGTGTGTTAGTGGGTGTGTTCGTTTGGTTTCTGGGCAGAGCTCAGGTGGCCCGCCATCAGCAGTTCCATGTGGGGATACATGTGTGCACAGGGCTTTACATTACTTCTTTCACAGTGTGTTAGTGGGTGTGTTCGTTTGGTTTCTGGGCAGAGCTCAGGAGTCTGAGCTGGCTGCTGACTCTTTTTTCTCACTTGCACTATGGTGAGAGAGATTGTGCTCACATAACCTACTCCCCAGAGAGCCAAACTCGTTAAACTGGCTGCTCCATAAATAAAAATAATTACATCTGATAATGCACTGAAAAGGAAGCAAGAGGAAAGAAAAATAAGAGTAGCAGTGAGAAGCTTCCAAATAGTCTGTGAATTCACCTACCTGACCTGTTTTGTTTTTAAGACCCTCTCCTTTGCTACCCCTCTCAAGGCTGTTTGTCATTCACTATTACTAGTGTCTTTTCTTCTGTGTGGTCTTATGAATTGTAGAAACTTTCCCAACTACCTTTGTTCTTGCCTTTTTGGCTTCTAAACTAGATGAAGTGAACTTTGCTCTCTAACTACTTACTGACTTCATAAATCCCTTGCTGTGAACAAACCCACTGCTAGGAATTACTCTCTCCTCTCTGCAATTTTCCACCTTCTGGCTACTCTGTTTACCTGGCTTCTGTCAACCAACCACACACCCGTCTCCTTAGTTGTAGGGAAATTGTTTAACTATCATCCCCACATACAAACTCACAGAGCTCCTGGAAGAGTGAAAAAGGAATGAGGTGGGAGCTGGGAGGTTTCTTTACATAGGTCTTTCAGGCACTGAGAAACTCTGTCTCAATAAGTAACATTGTGGTTATTAATATCAATAATAAAACACAACATGTAATGTAATAATAGAAGATAGCATAATATGGCTAACAACGCATGTACAATATAGTAGCATATCATATAAGGTACACTTCTGATTTTTTTGCTTTATCTTTTCATCAAGTCACTACAAAACTGGATTACATATTTAGCATTGCTTAGCAGAATATCAACATATTTTGTTTGTGATGAATCAGAATTAAAGAATCTTGTTAAGGAAGGGAAAATACAATGTTTGTGATATATGGAAGTGTGGTAACCACCAATTCTCTTCAGAAAGAAAGAGTCAGGTTTCTGGAGATGTCATTTGGAAGATATGCTGATTTTATAGGCTTTAAAGTGATACACATAAAGAATCTCTAGCCAGATAAACAAGAAACTAGTAACTAGTAATAGTCTACCTGGAGGAGAATTGGGGACTGGATAAATGGAGAAGGACAGGGTGGGAGAAAGATTTTTGTGCTATATGATTTTACATTTTTGTTTTTGAACCATATGAATGTATTTCCTTTTTATTTAAAAGAGCATGGGAGAAAGAAGATGATTTGGTAGTGACTCATCTTTTAATCTATATCCTGGTAAGGATGAGGTCTGTGTCTATTTCCAATATGAATAGGGAAAGTTCCTTGAAGCTCTGATTGCTGAGGAAACAAATAGTTTTTATTGATAAATGCTGTCTGTTCATTGGTTATGAGGGTGCAGATGTTTCAGAGAAAGAAAAATGCATAACTCATCTCTCTTGAAATCCGCCAACTATTTATTCATTGTCTGAATTAACTTTGTATAAAAATGAAACTAAGTGTTTTCTTTTTAAAAAATGATACATAGCTAAAGAAAATTTAGACATGCTCAAAACTGTTGCGGAAGTAGATCTTGCCCACATAACCCACGGATCACAATTGTTTAGACAGGTGCTGTGAATCTTTACTTGAGCGTGGGAGCAGAAGTCTTGGGTGGGAGGAGAAGCTTTAAAATAATTTGAGTAACAGTAGGATGAAGGGACTAGATCAAGCCTATACTTGCTGTATAACAGAGAAGAGAAAAAATATCGAGAGCCAGGTGGGAGATAAGGGGGAGGGTTCTTCCAGCCCGAATATCAAGCAAATGGATAGAGATAAATGGATGGCTGAAAGAGAAAGCCATGTGCTTAATATCTAGTGATCTACAGAGGCATTTAAAATATATATGTGTGTTCCCTGTTATTTTTTTCCAGGACCACTCAATTCTTGGGAATTACTCACAGCCGTGCACTGTGCATTCTTGGAGGGCCTAGCAGAGAAGCGGGCAGTCCTGCAGCCATGGGAGAAGAGAGGGGCATGACACGGATGCTACTGGATTGCAGTCTCAGTGACAAGTTGTGTGGTAAGTGCAGATACCATAGATGTTTATCCTCTGGTTTTAGAATTACACAGACTAAGCTCTGGATAGATTCTAGTGGGAGGATGATTTGATTTCTAGTAGAAATGACAACAGTGGTGACAAAAGAATGGGGACTAGACCATTGTCTTTGAAGGGCTGGGGGGTAAGTGCCTGTCAGAGATTCAGATGCTGCATCCTCTATCTCAGTAGGAAAAATGACAGAATAGGCACAGGGTACACTTGAAGGGATAAGAAACAGGGACATGGGGTTTCTGATCAGGACCAATAGTGGCTCCATTAATGGAAGCAGAGGAGAAGGTGGAAGAGATGATCTTTTCATGTATGGTGAGCTGAGGATTGGTGGGTAGAGGAAATTGTGTAAACATCTGGTCAGACTTTTTAAGATTCTCTTCACTTCTTGCTCGATTGCCTATTCAGTTGTCCAGGAGGGACAGTATGAAGTGGTCATCGTCCCAGCTCTCCTGGTTGGTGCCTTTCTCATCCTTCTTGGTGTCATCCTGTGGCTTTTTGTAAGAGAGCAAAGAGCCCAACAACAGCATCCAGGACTCCAAGGTAAAGCTCAAACTTTGGGGCTGGGAAAATGGAGATCAGGAAATATATGGTCAAAGTGTCAATGGGCCCAAGTGTAGGCATCTTGGTATTTGCTATGCGAGAGGCATGGATTCCTTCCTGTTGAGTTGAGAGGGGGTGAGCTCTTCTCTAGGAAGTCATGAGTTGGAACTCAACACATGCTTGTTGACTGAAAGAAGAGTAGGCACAGAGGCCTCATGTGACCTGTTTTCTGTCCTCTTTGTCCTATTGGACTATGAAATCTTTGACTACAGGAGCATCTAACGACTGAGGAGGAACATCTAGGGGGTAAAGCCGAAGACTTTGTTGCCATCCTCAGAGGATGGCATTTTACTCTATATTACATTCCATCTCTATTCTTTGCCTCCAGAATATATGATGAAATATATATGAAGGGACAGCCTTTGTACTAGTCTTTGAAGTGTTAAGTAGCAGATGATAACAGGTTGTTCTGCAGTACCATTGAGCATATAATGGAAGAGAATCAGCTCATACATGAAACTAAGAGTAGAAAGAAGGAAAACAAATCCTGATGACTTTTCATGTCAAATCCTGAAATGAAAGTTAAGGCTGATCCTTAGTCCCTCTGTAAATTTTATCCCAATTCTGTTATGCTTCACTTTTATAGAAAACTTCTCATGAGTTGCTAAACTCACTCTTACTACTTCTACTCGTCACATTCTCATAGTCTTCATCTTACTCGACCTTTCAAAAACGTGAAACAATATTGTACTTCCTCTTTCTTGAAATACTTTTTTAAAATAAAATATCTAAAGTCACTTCCTAAAATAATTTTCAATTTTATGGATTCAAATACTTTTCCTATTCTACTTGTGGTCCTTTGAACTCCAGATTCTTATATTAAACCATGTACTTTGCAGTTCGGATATAATACATAGCATATATGTAATATGTCCGAAACAAAGGTCTGGAATTCCCTCACAAATGTCCTTCCTTAATACTCTTCCCTATCTCAGTACATGGCAGCCTTTGAACTCCAGATTCTTATATTAAACCATGTACTTTGCAGTTCGGATATAATACATAGCTTATATGTAATATGTCCGAAACAAAGGTCTGGAATTCCCTCACAAATGTCCTTCCTTAATACTCTTCCCTATCTCAGTACATGGCAGGTCTTCTATGTTTTCAGTCTAAAACCTTGAAGACATCCTTGTCTCTGCTCTTTCTCTCACAGTCCATATCTAGTATGCAAGCAAATCCTCTTAATTCTATCTTCAAAATAAACCCTAGACACTCTCACCTCTCATAGATCATTGTAACACACTCCTAATTGCTTCCTCTGCTTTTGCCCCAACTTTTGATGGTCTATTCTCCCCAGAGAAGCCAAAATGATTCTTTTAAGACATAGTTAGTCCTATCAGTTCTCTGCTTGAAACCCCCCAGTAGCTTCCCATCTTGCTCAGAATGAAAAAACATAAAATTCTTTCAATAGCCTGATATGATCTGAGCCTCTCTGGCCTTATGTCCTACAATTCAAACCCCCCAGTAGCTTCCCATCTTGCTCAGAATGAAAAAACATAAAATTCTTTCAATAGCCAGATATGATCTGAGCCTCTCTGGCCTTATGTCCTACAATTCTCCAATGACCCCCTTGGCTCCAGCTGCACTGGCTTTCTTGCTCTTTCTCAGATACATCAAGTATGCTCCTTCCTCGATGCCTTTACACTACTTGTTCCCTTTGCCTACAGTACTCTTCCTGACTCCAGCATGGTTTGCTCCCTAATTGCTTCCAGGTCTTTCTCAAATGTCATTTTATCAGAGAGGCCTTTCTTGACTTTAATATATAAAATACGATTACTGATAATTCTTCTCCTCTTGTTATTTTCCTCCATAACACTCATTGCCTAATATATTACTATCTGCTTCCTTTCCCCTACCACTGGAAAGTAATATTCAGGTGAATCTGGACTTTGCCTGTTCCCAGCACCTAGATTCCCAGCACCTGGCACATAGTAGGTGATATTTGTAGAATAAATGGGTGAATTAATGAATGAAATGATGTAATAAGAATGAAGGACTTTTTTTCAAGTGGAGGAAAGTTAATGCTGGCTAATAAAGGGAGAGAGTACCAGAAGACATTTTTGACTAAGACTCAAGGAAATATGGAATGATGTGACTTTTAGGACAACTTGAGGGAGGAAGAGTAACCATAACTTAAAGTCGCCTAGTTATCCATACCTTTCCTCCAACTTTGGAAGCCACTGACTGACTCAAATGATAGTCTCCATTGGCAGTTACCACCACCTTCAGGTATTTGTGGTTTGGGCCCTTATTTAAAAACTTCCTTAATTGTCTTTGTACTATATACTATCAGGAATACTGAACAGTAATCCTGAGGAAGACAGAAAGGAATGTCATGACCGTTTTCCAGAGGTTCATCTTCAGTTGTCCTAGAATTACAGGGATTATTATGAAGGTTCTACAAGGGTGGTGGAGATTTTCTTGTTTTTTAAATTTTTTATTAACACCAGAAAAATTGAATGATTAGATCATTTGTTTTGCAATTCTGATTGGCAGAATTTACAAAGCATGCCTTTCATCTCAGTCAAGGTTGTTTTATGCACTAATCATTATTTTTTTTGTGGAAGGAACTAAAACAAAGTCTCAAATTAGCTTAGATAAAAATCAAGACTATGTATCAAGCAGAAATAAGAAAAAGGTTATTTTTAAACGTAGAAATTTTGTTTTATTCCAAAGTACATGTCTAGCAAGTAAGTGATTTATTTAAGCCAAGAATACCTCTTGGAGCATGTAGAGAGGGAGATGAATGGCAATTCTTTTTAGATGATTTTCTTAAATCAGATGATCACAACTAAGTTTTTGATGACAGTTTACAAATACAAAAGTATTATGTCATTTTCTGAAGAGGGCATCATATGCTGGTATGATTATTATTGACTAAAATCTGATCCAAAATTGTTAAATTGTAGCAAATGTGGGAATATAAATCAATCTTTAAAAACAACATTTAGAAGAGGTTTTATTCACTTAATTTATCAGATATTTTCCATGTTTCTATGTAGTATTGATGTTATAATTTATATGACTTCATAATATTTTACCAATACATATGTCATCATACCATTTTATGCCTATGATTAGCAAAATATAAGTGTTAGAAATGTTTATTCCCTAGGACTGATCTCAGTCTTAATTTTTGTTCCCCCGACTTCTTTATATTGCTACCATATAAGGATGTCTGTATACTTGGTATTTTTATTCTTTTCAAAATTATTTTCATAAAACAAATTCCCAGGATTGAGATGTTTCTTCCAAAGAGTATAAATGATTGGTGACCTTTAAAAAAAAATTAACCTTTAGATTATTCTTCAGTATGGAGTCATTCTTCCACTTAGTGGTCTTATACATACTTTTGGATTCAACATTGACTTCCATTACCTATGTACAATGTATGTTGGTCAAATCACTATTAGCATATTTATTATTACAAATCATACTTTATGCCCCTTATCCGATCTTTCCCCATCTCTCCTCTCCTCCCCACTCCCACCTCTAATAACCCTAGATTAGTTCTTTCCTTCTGAAGGATTAACATTTACTCTGTTGATCTGTTGCCTAGATGATCTGTCCTGTGAGAGGGGTGTTCAGGTCCCCCACTATCATTGTAGAGCAGATGCTTCTTCTTTTACTCTGGTGTGGGCTTTGTGGAGAGAGATGTCCTCTTCTTTTTTTTTTGGTCTTCGCTGGTGACTCTCATTGTGTCAATGTAGTTGAGTGGCTGGCAAGCCACCTGCATGGTGGCTGTGGCTACTGTTGTGGTTTCCAGCTGCTTTTGTAGCAGCCATGGCTACTGCAGTGGCTGTGGTGGGCCACCCGCATAGAAGTGGTGTTTTTGGCATGCTCCTTGCCTGGTTGTGGGAGGAGGGGTTGGCCCCTGGCTCCATGTCTCAGGACCTTGGCTGGGCCCTGTGGTGGTGGCAGCGAGCCTACAAGCTTGGTGCTGATGCTGGTTCATAGAGAAGCATCAGAGGACATCCCCACATGGGCCAGTGACAGAATTGCTGAAGGAATGTCCTTGCCAGTTTGTTCTAGGCTCTGCTTTTCTGGAGTCTCCAGGGCAGGGCAAAGCTGGTTGATATTGTCTCTTTTTCTAGGCATTGTTCCCATGCCTCCATCTAGGGGCCTAAGCGGGGAAGCAGCAGGACATGGAGGAAATGTGTTTGTGCCACTTAAGGAGACATCGGTGGAAAGCTTTCTACGAGCTACCAATCCTGCCCTGGCTAAGCTACAGGTGCCCCGAGAGCAACTCTCTGAAGTTCTGGAACAGATCCACAATGGTAGTTGCGGAGCCATCTATCGAGCCAAAATGAATACTAGCGACCCCGCTAAGCCGAAGAGTGTTGTCGTCAAGGTTTTAAAAGGTAAAATGAGAAGTGTTAGACTTCCTTTCCCCTTTTTACTTTTCTACTGTGAGCTCCTGACAGGCTTTGCAAACATGAAGATGTTCATCCACAGATAGTTGTGATCATCATTGTG